GGTTTTGGGACCTGAGCTCCTTGGGTGAGGAAGGTGGTCTGTGTCAGGGAGTTGTATGTGCCGGTCTAGCCATGACTTCCATCATGGCATTATCTCCTGTTGTCTGCCTAGGAGCTGGGCAGAAAGAAAAGGAAAGGAAAAAAGGGAAAGGAAAAAAACCCCAGGGATTACCCTACTTTCTCTGGCCCTTCCTAGTACTTCTTCCCACTTGTCATACCAGGAAGAGAGGCTGCTCTTGGAGTTTCTGCTGTCCATACCCAGGGCACACACCTTTGAGTCCCAGGCTGTCTTTCAGTTTAGGCCAGGTGGCACTGGAGGGAAGTGGAGCTCACTGCCAGTTCAGAATAGCTTTGGTTTCTGGTCTCCTACTGTGATTCACCTTCTACAGTTTATATTTTGAGTCTTTTCTTCATCTCCATGCATTCATTCTATCTATGATTTATAGTTGCATTTAGCAGGAGAGACAGGGCGAATTGTGCTTACTCTATCTTTTCCAGAATTGGAACTCATAATTTTTTTTAAAACATAAACCAATCCATGTCCCTCATCTGATTAAAACTCTCAAAATAGCTTATCATCATACTTAGAATAAAATCTGAATATTTTTCCACAACCTTTCCTCTGTTATTAATCTTATACCACTCTCTTCTTTGCTTATGCTCTTCCTTGATTGCGCTGTACCTTAAGATTTTGCATTACCTTTTCGTTCTCTCTGAAAACCTCTTCTCCAAGACCTTCACATGATTGCTTTCTTGTTATTTGAGCCTCAAATAAAACATCATTTCTTCAGGGAGGCCCTCCTTTCCCCTCAAATCTGAAGTCATTTTTAAAATTTCTGTTTATGCTTTTAAGAGATTCGCTTAATTTTTAAAAAGTATTTGTATCATACATGTCTTATGCTTTGCCTTATATACTGGCCCACTTTTTACACTAGCCATTGCCATGGCAACCATATTTATGCAGGTATAACCTGACAGCATCTCACCTCAGCACTCTAGAATATTCTAAATGCCTTCTCTGAGGCATTTAAGATTGGATGCCCATGGGTACCCACTCTGCACAGTGCATGCATGAAGTATGAGAGAATTGATCTCTCTGGGGAAAGATTGACCAGTGAGGGAAAGAGTTGGTGGAGGAATTATTCTGTCTTCTGTGCCTCAGGTGCACAGTTCTGAGGTCCCATCCCCACAGCTCCTCAGAGGAACCAGAGAGATTGAGTTCCAGCTGCCCAAAGTGTGACCAGCTCAATGAGACACACTAATGATGCACTTTGGTGTTGCTTTCTCTCCTTCTCCCCCACTCTGCTCACACTCCCCGCCTCTTGGCCTGTCTTCCCCAAACACCAGCTCTGTGCAAACCCTTTTCTGAAACTGCTTTCTGGGGGGAATCTCAGGCTAAGACAATATTCTAAATGACTTTAAAAATACTTTTTATAAAACATGTCAAGTATAGGAAATATAAAGAAGGTCAGGATATCTATCTGCCACACAGATTTGTCAAATTTTAAGATTTCACTATATTATATTTGCTCTTTTTTGTTTGTTTGTTTGTTTTTTGAGACAGGATCTTGCTCTGTCACCCAGGCTGGAGTGCAGTGGCCTCATCATAGCTCACTGCAACCTTGACCCTCCTGGGCTTAAGTGATCCTCCCACCTAGGCCTCCAGAGTAGCTGGGACTACAGGCATGTATCACCACGCCTGGCTAATTATTCTATTTTTTATAGAGATGGGGTCTCGCTCTTGCTCAGGCTGGTCTTGAACTCCTGGCCTCAAGGAATCCTCCCACCTCGGCCTCCCAAAGTGCTAGGATTACCGGTGTGAGCTACAGTGGCTGGCTCTTGCTTTCTTTTTTTCAGTTTAAAGAAATAAAAATATACTGTTAATATTAAAGCTCTGTATGGTTCTCCTTAACACCATGTCTCTTCCTCTCTTACCAGGAATGACTACTATTAAATTTAATGTTTATAAACAATATAGGGTATTTTAAAAAATATTTTTAAGAGTTGATGTACATGTGTATTGTATGGTATCTTTTGCAACTTATTTACCTGACATTATTACCATGAAATTTATCTGTAGTGCATTATATACTTCTTTTAAATTCATTTTCACTTCTGCATATATTCCCATTGTATAACCATACCATTGTACGACGGTATCTACTCTTCACTTGATGTATACTTGGTTAAAAGCAGGTCTTTGCTTTTATAAACAGTGTTGTATTGAACATTTTTGAATGTGCCCTTCTGCAGAACTCTGAGTCGATCGAAATATGCCTAGAAGTGGAATTGTTAGGTCAAAGGGTACTTATCTGCAGCTTGCCTAGATATTCCTAATTTTCTCTCTGAAGGGGTTGTATCAATTTATACCCCTAACAACAGTGAATAAGAATTCCCATATTTCCTCTTGATCTACAGCTTGGCCAACACTTTCTACTGGAACAGTTTTTAAATATTTTTAGTAGGTTGGGTGGGAAATAACATCTCAGGGTTTTATTTCCGTTTCTCTGCCTAGTAGTTCAATTGAGCTTCTGTTCCTGTTTATTGGTTATTGGGTTTCCTCTACTTAAAATTGTTGATTCTTGTCCTTTGCTTGGTTTTCTGTTGGGTCATTTCCTTCTTATTGATTTATAGGAATTCTCTATAAATTCAGAATTTGAATCCTTTGTCAGTTTAATGTGTTACAAATACTGTGAAGAGGTATTTGCAACACATGAAAAACAAAGCTTGTGTTTGGTTTGTTTTTTAATGTATTTCATTGCACCAGAGTTCTTAATTTTAATGCAGCCAAATATTTTAGTCTTTTTTCTCATATTTTATATATCTTGGAACTCATTTGAGAAATCTTTCTCTTTTTAAACTTGTTTTTCTAATTTAAAAAAAAATGGCAAAAATTTGCATTTTTTAAACTCCCCTATCCTTTTTGCCCTTCCCTCTCACAGAGTGCAATATCTGTGAAAGCAGAGATCTTGTCTTTCTTGTTCACTTTCATGTCCCAAGTGCCTAGACCTGTACCTGGAACATAGGGATGCCCGTAGGTATTTGTTAGATGAATTAGTTAATCAAATTCCTAATTCTGGGCTGAGGAAATAATGCACACTCACTATAGCAAGGTGGTTTTACACATGCTGCTCTCTTTGCCTAGAATGTGCATCTCTTTTTCCCCTGACAAGCTTTATTTCCCTCACTCAACCTGACTCCAGATTCCCCAAATAATTGTGCTCCTGTGTGCTGCCAGGCCTTTGTCCCTCCCTCTTCTACACAAAGCAAATGGATCTGTCCTTCAAAGACTTGTTCTGATCTCACTTCTTCCGGGAAGCTTTCTCAGATTTCCCCATACTTCAGAAAGATAGAGCCAGGAAACAAAAACAAAAAGCAGACAAGAATTAAACATAAACTGTATGTTCCAACAGACCATAAGCCTTAAAACAAATCATCCAAAGTGACATGGAAAGATACGCAGAGCAAATGACATTACGGTGGGCACAAAATGCTATTGCAGTCTGGGAAAGGAAATTTATTTATGAGTAAGAGATAGAAAGCTGAGATCTACCAATAAATCATAATGTCAACAATTAGGAATGGAAACACTGCATCGAGGCACCCCCACACCAGACAGTGAGTCAGAAAAGAAAGAGGACAAAAAATCTGTTTTGTATTGATGCTATTCATTCCTGTGCAGTTTTCTAAGTACTATATTCTGTGAGCGAAAGCAACATATATTTGAGTCTTTTAAAAATCACTTTGGTTTTACTCCTCTGATAAATGTTTTGCGAGTTCCCTTTTCTGATGAAAGATTTTGCTGTGATTAAAGATTTCATGAAGTTATGACAATGGTGGAATAGATCTTCATTCTTAGAAGCTCATTTGTGTGTGAGCTGAGTATGGAGGCCTCTTGTCAGAACTAGTGAATATTTTCCAGTGCTGAACCTCTGGGGAAGACACTGCACCCCCAAATCTGAGAATCATCTAAAGCCATGCAGTGCCCTATCCACCCCGTGGTGTATAATAAAAATGGTAACAGTGCTCTCTGCTTTCTCCTTTGACGGTAGATCACACACCCATATATTCTGGAAAAACTGACATTTCACAGGCCTTTTGACAGTGTCTGTACATGTGTGTGTGTGTGTGTATGTGTGTGTGAGAGAAAGAGAGAGGGAGAGAGAGAGAAAACCCACGGACACGTCCCTGCACCCTCTGCACTTCAGTTCTCTCCTCTGGAAAGAACAGAGGACAGGTGTAGCTTGGGAACATGGGTCCCCATCCACCATGGAAGGCTCAGGACTTTGAACCCTGAGCCTTGGGTCTCAGTCATCTCCACAGTGTGCTTGTCCTCTCCGGAGCCTCCCGCTCCTCAGTGTCCTCGGGGCTCGTGAGGACCTGTCACAGGGCTAGTGAGTGGAGCAGCCTGGGCGCCTGACAGTGCTGGCCCTCCTTCCCCTTTCCCCTGTCTGGACTTCCCTTTTCACAGCCAGCAAAGACTTGCCTTCCACCTTGGGAAATACATCTGAGCATCTAAATGCCCTTCGGAAGGGCATGTTTTGAAGTCACATTAAGCTAAAAATTGACCCAGAGCACAGATCGTCTCTGAGTCTTTTCCCTCCAAGGAAAACTGTTTAGCCTGCTCCTCCACAAGAATGGCTCTGCTCTGTTGCCGTGTCTCCGTGCGTCCTGCCTTAGGTACAGCCGCCCGTTTAGATCAGCAGATACTTGCTGATCACTTGTCATGTGCTAGCTATGATGCTTGGTATTTGAGATACTGTGTTAGTTTTAGACGTTCAACTGCAATGGAATCTAACAAATGGTGGCTAACACAAATGACATGTATGTTTTTGTTTTTCATTTTGCGTGTGTAGCTGATAAATCTGGAGGGAGGGCATTTTCATATATCACACTTTGTACATCTTAAGTAGTGCAATATCATTGAAGAGGAGAAAAGGGCAAAGTGACTCCTCTTTGGCTGTCAGAGGGTGCTGAACTTTCTTTTGTCTTTCAACACAGCACCCGGCAGTGCCACCTGCTCCTGGACGTCTTCAACTCCACTGAGCACGAGCTGACAGTCAGTGCCAAGAGCAACGAAGAGCTTGTCCTGCATGCCGGCGAGTGCCAGCGGTGAGTGTCCCCATGTCCCAGGTGCCTCCATGCTTTCATCAGCCCACTGGGTTGATCATGGAAATAATCACCCTCTGAAACCTTGGAGGACAGGACAGGCCAGTCTCATCTCCCTTTCTGAGGTATTCTAGTAATTATTCAAGTTTGCTGAAAGAATCTGGGATGGCTTCACATTAGAGTCAAGTGTAAAGTGAGTAAAACCAGATAGTGTCCGCCTGAGGAAGCACCAACATGTGCTTTCAGATACCGCCTTTGAAGACATTGACTCCTCTGAGCATCTTTCATGTTTAAATTCTTAAGAAAGCCGTATTTGGAAATATTTGGCATTGATTTGGAAGCCGTACTATCAATATCAAAGGAACTCCTTTGAGGAGTTAATTCTACTAAAAGACAGGCCAGGCTCAGACCTTTCAGAGAGGAGCACTGTCACTGAGCCCAGTCCATGGAGGGCAAAGAGAGGTGGCACTTTCGAGCCCAGGGTCAGCAGAGGTGAATGGGGAGCTGAGGTGGAAGTGGGAACTGGTCAGGAGCAAAGCCAGGGCCACTAGGGCATGTCCCTGAGGCAGACAGAGCTCCGTGACTTTGGAAAGATGCTGTCCTTCTGTGGTGGAGCCCCTTGGATTAGCCCCTGGCCTCTCCCCTTGGGCCTTCCTGCATACCAAGAAGCTGTGCCTCCAAGCACAGCCTGGGCTTTAGGGGCATACACTCAGAGACAGAATTAGAGATGGAATAAAATTTTTTACTAATATTTTAAATTACTAAATACTTCAAACATACAGAAAATAATTTAGAAACTAGCATGTCCATGTTCTAATTTTAAGCATTTTGCTTTATGTGTTCCAGATCTGTTTCTCTTTCTCTCTGTCTATCTCTCTTTTATTTTAAGGAAATAAAATGTTTTAAAATAATAGCTGACATTAACATTACTAGTCAGCGAGGAGATGCAAATCCAAAGCACGATGAGATACCCACTACTCATTCCTCAGAATGCTTAAAGGAGGAAAGATAATGCCAAATGTTGGCGAGGATGTGAAGCAACTGGAACTCTCATGCCTTGTTAGTGGGAATATAAAATACTGCAACTGCTTTGGCAAAATATTGGCACTTTGTTATAAAACTAAACATACACTTACCCTTTGCCCAGCTATTTCAACCCTGCTTATTTATTTATTTTTTTAGAGACTGGGTCTCACTCTGTTGCTCAGGCTGGAGCACAGTGGCCAGATCATAACTCACTGCAGCCTCAAACTCCTGGCCTCAAGCAATCCTCCTGCTTCAGCCTCCTGAGTAGCTGGGACTACAGGTGTGTACCACCACACCCAGCTAATTAAAATTTATTTTTTTTTGTAGGGATAGGATCTTGCTATGTTGCCCAGGCTGGTCTTGAACTCCTGACCTCGAATGATTCTCTCACCTTGGCCTCCCAAAGTGCTGGGATTATAGGAGTGAGCCACGATGCCTGGCCAACCGTAGTTATTTATTCAAGAAAAATATAAAACATATGGTCACAAAAAGACCTATATAAGAATGTTCCTAGCCAAAAAATAGCAAGAGCCCATGTGCCCATTACAGGAGAATAGATAAACAAGTGGTGGTATTTTCTTACAAATGCAGCAAAAATGAGCGAATTACTCATACACAAAGCAACATGAGCGAATCTCAGGAACGTTGTGCTGGGTGAAAGGAACCTTACCTGAAAGAGCACAGACTATGTGATTCCATTTATATGAAATCCTAGAACAAGCAAAACCAGTCTACGACGGAAAAAGGTCAAAACATGGGTTTCCTCTGGAGGGCTCGGGAGAGGGCTCTGAGCGGGAAAGAGCATAGGTGATTTTCTGGGTGCTGGTCATGGTGTCTAACTCAGCAGGGGTTTGGGCTATACAAGTGTGTACATTTGGTAAAAATCAGCAAATGTTCATTTGAGATTTCTGTGTTTCAAAAACTGTAAACCAATGTGGAACTCTAGTCAATAACTGAAGGATTTGGGGTCTGTGTGTGATATCTGCAGTAGTCTTTGAAATGTGTAAAATATCAGATGGATTAATGGGTGGGCAGAGGGATGGGCAGATGGACAGATTCGGTGATGAAGCAAGTAGAGTACAATGTCAGCAGCAGCATCTCACAGTGGGCATGCAGGGTGTTCGCTGTAAAATGTTTTCAACTTTATATTTTAAATTTTTCATAAGAAAATGTTGGGAAAAATAAGCAAAAGAAAAAAGTAGCTAAACCCTACTCTCCTACCCACCTCATCCATCTTCGTTTCTCTTTCTTTCCTCTGCAGGGTAATTTCTGCCTTGGAGGTGATGGTGTCCATTCATATACATGTTTCACTACTTTTATTGTGTATACATATATCCACGACCAAACATTATTTTGAGAGGTTTTTTTTTTAATGACATAAGTGGTTCCATATCATATATGTCCTTTTAAAACTTTTAAAATCAGCGTTATCCTTTGGAGCTAAATATAAATCTGGTTCTTTCGTTTCGACTGCTATTAATATTTCATTGTGTAAATATGCCACTTATTCATTTCCATGCTAATGCACTCAGTATGCGGTGGTTTCCAGGGTATTCATATTTAATGTGATGATTGTTAATGACACACATGAATGTCAAGTCAGGCCCTGTAGCCCTGTAGTTGGAAGCCAGAGATTCAATGGCTTGGGGGGCATTTATGGCCTTACTTAGAGAGGAGCCAGAAAACCCTCCTTCCCAAAATCACCTTTCTCTTGTAACCTGGACAGAATTTCCCACATGGGTGTGGATATATGCGTGGGGTTCACGTGCTCTTCCATGTGTGAGCGTGAGGTCTGTGGCTGAATGTGGTGCTCAGGCCCCTAAGGATAAAGACAGGTGCTTTCAGAAGGTCCTGATGCATCCTTTGGGGTCTAAGCTGCTGGCAGCTGTGGGATCCAGGGATGTTCTCCATAATTGTGTAGGGAACTATCTGCTTTCTGTCTAGTCTGTCATGTCTAGGTGTTTTGATGTAGCCTAAGATCCCAAAGAACATAAGTCTTGTCTTCTTATGGCACTAATATAAAGCACTTTATAAAAATTATAAATCGCTAAATTTGTCAGGATTAGTAAGCTTGAATCATTCTTGGCAACCGAAGGCTGAATGATATTAACAATCCCAGTTGCAAATAATTGCAATTTAGTCTTGTGCGACAGCCTTCTTCGTTATTAAGCTTTTCATTTAAATTCTCATGTCTGAATGTTCCTAGCTCACATATTCTTTTATCCATTCATAAAATATTCATTCAATAAATATTGATACTTCAAGAACTTGCTATGTGGTAAGCCCTGCATCAGGCTCCAGGAGTGCTGAGATGAATACATAAGGACCTCTCCTAGCTGGGGAGCACCACACAGTGTGACAAGTGTCTGCCCCTGCTGGGGCAGCCCCACCTCTTCTGCCTGACCAGGGCGTTTTGCTGTCCTGGGGGCGGTGGGAGCAGTAGGCAAACTGGAAGTTGAGACATTTCATTTGTCTGGGACATCATCATGGGTATTCCTCCCAGCATCTCCAGTGCTGAGGACGCCTGCTAACCCATGGCGACTCTGCTGTGAGTCCCTGTTTGGGAGGTTTGAGCCCTGAGGCTCAGAATACAGGGAATCACTTTCTTTCCCTTTCCTAAACCTGTGTCACCTTGCCAGCCTCCCGTGGGTCAGATGCATGCTCTGCCTTCATGGCGGGGTTCATAGTTCTTTTGTTCTCATGGAGAAGTTCAGGTGGAGAAAGGGGAGGTGGTTGTACCTCACTTGGCAGCAGCAGGAAGCACCTTACAGATGTTGGCCTTGGATGTGGTCCTGATACTTCCAGGCTTTGTCTCCTCAGTGCCCCTTCCTTCCCATAGTCCTGAGCTTCACGCCTCACCTGGCTCTCCCCTTCTCCTATGAGGACTCTTCCCTGCCACCCCTCAAGCTTTGCTAGATGCCAAAGCAAGCTTCCCTCTGCCTGGGCTTTGCTACTCTGAAGTGGGGAGAGGGCGGACTCTGCCCATAGGTGGGGGCTAGTGTTGCTCAGACTCCGTCTTCATCTCTCCAACAAGTGCAGCAGGTGATGCTCCTACTGCTCTCTAGGAAGTAGGCAGGTGCACAATGCTTTCTTTTGAAGATAGCACAGCCTAGTCTTAAAGGAAAAGCCATGTTCCTGGGATTACCGTGGCTTTGATGCTGCTGTTTGCACCCTGCATTCAAGGCTGGTCTGCAATCTAAGAGAGAGACCAACTGCCCCAATTAGATTTTTGTGTTGCTTGCCTCTTCCCCTCCTCCTGGTAGAAAGAGGTGATCTCATTTTACCCAGTACAAGAGTTTGGGTAGAAATGTATCCCTAGTAGCATGGAGGAGGAGCAACATGCTCCTAGGGGAAGAAAGGATGGAAATAATATTGACTTAGCATTTCCCATGTAAAATCACAGTTAATCCTCATAATATCCTCATGTGGGAGATTTTGTCCTCATTTTATATTAATAGATAAGCAAACTGAGTAAGTCAATCAAAGTCACTTAGAGGGAACTACATCTGTCCCATGCCAAGGCTGTGCCTGGCTGCACCCTGTGCCAAGGGGAGGTAACTTGTGAGCTAAGCCTGGAGTGGTGCAGGAGAGGCTGGAACAGGGTAGGCGGGGACCAATTCTGTTTATTTCCCCTCTTTCTGCTCCGTGTGACCTTTGGTAAGTTGCATTGAGCATCGTGAAGACCAACTCTAGCCAGCAGAAGAAAGGGTGGGGCAGAGAAGCAAACTGGATCTTTGGTTTCCAGGGTGTTCATTTGTTCATTCAATAAATATTTCCTGAGGGTCTACCAGGAGTCAGGCTTTGCTGGGAGTGAGGATGGTGAGTAAGTGTGGTACTGCTTGTGCTTTCACAGCACTGATATTTTGGTGTGGAGGAAAAGCACACACACAGCAATAGTGACACAGTGCGAGGAGAGTTGGAAGCACGTAGGAGGGTACCCAACCCCGGCCCGGCGGGGTAGAAGAGGGTGGCTGGGA